CAGCAAAGTGCGTACACGTTACGGCGTCTGGACAAAGAACCATAAGCTGACTGTGTCAACCAATAAAAGGCCGCGCCACCCAGACAGAAGCTGTTCGACATCAGGAATACGAGCACGCGATTGATAGATGCCTGGATGACCAATGACCTTCTTCCATACACATCATTTAAACCACATGATTTTTTCAATAAGTGAACTGCTATTCCTGTGGCCTTTTCCTCGCGTCTCAGTTGTGTGGGATACTCTCATGCAAGTGTAAGTGTGGTGCAGTTCTTCTGTGGCGTCCATGATTGTGAATCACTTAAGGAACCTTCAAGCTTTTGCTTCCGAAACCGAATAGCAACGAGCCTACGAGCAAACCATGCGGTTTCTTGATTAAGAGGTGCATGTGCCATGGTTTGTTCGGGACTCTGGTAAATATAAATTAAGGATTATTACATAAGACGGTAATACACCTTGAAAGTCCATTATCGTCTATTACAACTACATAAATTGGGCAAGGGAATATTGGTTCGTCAGAAGCACTAATTCCGGAGGGTGTTTTTCGAAAAATTATCACATTGCGTCAGTTTTTATCCTGGGGGTGGGAGAAGGTGCTCCAAGTCTCAGTAGAATATAGTGAGTGCACACAACGAATGCTTCTGTCCGCGACACCCAGTGATGTTGATCTTCAAATGCATCTTACCATAGACAGATCAAATCTTGCAAATTCCATCCTCGTTCATACTCTTATCCGCTTCACATGACCAAATTTCATGGCTAAAGTTTGTGTACTCTAAAAACAGTTGATCTGGATCTCGAGTTAAGTCAATCAGACACTGAATTATTCGGTTTGAACAAACGCAAAACGGGTATATCTGGCCGCACAAATTCGATTACAGTCACTTACCATCCGGGGCAATTATGTGCTTCGGAAAATCTTGTAGGGATCGATGAAGATCTCTCATTACAACCGGACTGTTTTCAATGCATAATGTGACGGGGTGTGAGGTATAGTAGTGTTGGAATGCTTTGATCAGACGGTCTAGTCTGTCATTCACACGGAAATCTGGCGGGGCACTTAACGATCGATTACTGCGTACACTTTGTAAACTCCCCACGGTTGCACGAGGCATCGGAGTGGCCGGCATAGATATACTAGAGAGGCTGGTTCTTTTATCCATGATGTTCGGGGAATTTGGAAACAGACTGAAATAAATCAGGCCACGTTAACGCATTCTTCTCAGCTGTGAGATGGCCCAGATCAGGTGAAAATTGGTATCGATCCGTTTGCAGCGGTTTTGAATCGGCAAGTCAGATGACTCAGAAAAGAGATAGGACACAGTTAAACAGAGAGCCAACGTGGTCCAAACCTAAGCTCGTCCTAAAATTCATTTTGTTGACCAATCAGCTGTGGATATCCAGATGAGACAGATTGAACACAGTGCTATGAAATCCAGATCTGTGTGGTGATCCTAGCCTACAGGATAACGCCGGCCACGGAGCGACGCGTTACAGTTTCTCGCCAACTGTGGTGAGTCAACCCTCCCATATGACGCCAGTCAAACGCCTACGCGTTACAGTTTCTGGACAATGAACCATAGGCCTATCGCGCCGACCAATCAGAAGTCGTGCGTTTCACACAGAAGCTGTATAACGTCAGGAAAACAAGCAGGCCGTTGGTGGATATATGTATAACCAATAAACTTCCTTTGTCCATGTTATTTAATCCCTTTTATATCTCTCCCGCGTCTCGGTGATGAGAAATTCCTGCGTACAAGTACTAGTGAGATTCGGTGTTTCAGTCGTGCCAGTGATTCGTAATCCGTACCTACTTCAACTACTACAACGTCCTTCCAAGACTTTTCAGTAGCACTTGTGGACTGCGTTTACCGACTCGTCTTGTCACCGGTTTGTCCCTAATATACACTCTTTAACCACTGCCCCTCATTGTATGGTCCTTTGACTACCATTGTTACCGGGAATTTTGCTTTACAAAGCTAGCCGATTTGGTCCCTCCTGCACTTTTGTTTATTCACACGACGCAGCCGCAAGCACAGAGTCACTCTGACCAGGTAATTATAAAATCCTGTCATAAAAAAACGTTTAGATTCTCTCGTTTCCGCGATCTGTGGAATAATCAATACTTTTCAGACTCCGGTTTTACTCCTTCTTGCGGCCTTTTGAGCGCTGAACCAACAAAATATGCAACGAATGAATGTTCTTCTATCTATACTGTACTCCCTACTTTTACGGTGTGTGCCCCTCTTGTGTACATCATGCCTATAAAGTAATAAAAAAACTTCTTGTGGTGATGATGTCCCTAATCTCATCCAAATGGAAAAACCTTGACCATTGGCATTACCACAGCTTAGACAACCGTATTTGTTCGGTTCATTGTGATGATCCAAGCTTACATTGGATGATGCAAACCACAAGGCGACAAGTTACAGTTTCCGGTCAAGTGGGTCAAGTTTTTCAGATGACACAAGCATGCGCCCCACTCGGCCACCGGATCAGACCGTTTCTGATTTTACACATACATGATCTAATACAACTCACCTTTACGAACTTGTTGCAGCTATCCAATCTCGTTCATCTCAGACTGCTTGTTCAATGGAAGTCAAGGAGAATCCTAATCGGAATGATGCTCAGTTTATTTATTCCTCATGAAATATGCATCTACTTTTTTATTTTATACACATATATTTATATATGAACACTTTTGCAACTTGAATTCTGTCAATCTGTCAGCTGCCTGGGATTGGACAGGAAAATAATTCGTAACAAAATCGAGTAACTAATCATCAGCTGAAAGATTTCATCAAGTGCTATCCACTTCCCGATAAAGGAAAGAAAACACGAGCATCAGACCTGCCTATTTCCTATTCAAAGAACAGATAAAAATAAATTTCATTTAAATAATTGACGATCAAACTGTTCAAGTCGTTCGCACTGATCAAGTCGAGTATTCGTTTTATTCCACCGAAAGGAAAGGAGAGGATTATAAATTTTTGTAGTATTGTGAATAGTATTAGAAATGGAATTACAGAATTCGCGCAATACCTATCCCCGAAATAGAACGACTTCGAATGGAATAGCACACGGAATTTATTCGAAATTTTACTCTGTATATTCAATGCATTTAAAGTGTATAATGAAGCTGTCGAGGTCCGTGTCATATATCACACTTTCAGCAGAAACTACATAAAAGAAGCTATCAAACAACTGTGAACTGAGAACAGGCTGATGAAACACAATTACAGAGTTATTCCATCCTGGTTTTCTGTTTGTCGGAAACATTCAGATTGCCAGGGGAACGTGGTAAAGGAATCTGTAGTAATCGGATTAGGTACCGATTACGGATCACGATACACGGTGGCAACTTAAACATATAATCGCACTAGCATTCGTACTCTGGAATCTCCCGTCATCGAGACACAGGTCAAAAAGGACACAGAAGTGGCGGTTCATTTATTGATAGAAATAAATGGAATTAAATAACGAATAGGGAGATATGTGATTGGTCAAACGGATATCAACCAATCACCGTTCTTGTTCTTTGAGTCATACGACTTCTGTTTGAACTGCATGACTGTTGATTGATCGATACTTTTATCCCGTAGCTCGATGTCCAGAAAATGGAACACGCGGCCGTTTGATTGGCGTCATTTTGGAGGGTTGACTTATCACAGATTCGCGTGCAGAATTATGTACAAATAGGAGCCTAAAGTTAGAACGTGTGTTTGAGGTTGATATACCTTGGTGTAAAGAAAATGTATAGGGTGAGCTATCGCACATGAAAACGGTTTTACATGCTGTTGGTCAGAGACCGTTATTACAATCTGGATGTAAAACAAACGGCCGCATATAGCGGAGAATTTGAGGGCTCACAAATCTGTTCTT